CAGGCTGGGGTTGGGCGCGGGGGGCTGCCAGGGGGCGCCGCCGCTCACTCTCGAGTCTCCCGGCAGCAGCGGCCCGACGAAACCCTGCTGCGAGAAGTGCGTGGAACCGCGCATGGTCCGCGGGGACATGTCGACGGGCGGCGGCGGCGGCGGCTCCCGGCGCGACATGACGCTGGGCTTGTAGGACTCCTCGACGGCGCGGAGGGCGAGGGCCACGGGGCGCTGCTCGCGGCGCTCACTGGCCGACAGGCCGATCAGCTCCTTGAGGCGGCCCTTGGACGACACGCCGGGGCCCCGTTCCATGGCCATCATGCTGCGCAGCGTGTCGAACTGGCCCCGGGGGCTGCCGCCGGAGTCCATCAGCATGATCTTCAGCTTCTCGAAGGAGCCCTTGACCGGCACCTGGGACGAGGAGGACTTGGCGAAGGGGGGGTACCGCCCCTTCCAGATGCGTCCGTAGACGGGCGCGGAGGGGCCGGCGTTGGGGTCGGGGGCGAACGCTATTAGTCTGCCGTAGGTGTAGGGTCGGGCCCTCGGGAGTTGGTTGGTGGAGGTGGCGCGCCGGGCCTCTCTCTTGCTCAGCCTCCACATGGCGCGCAGCTCCTCGCACGACGGCTCGCCCCGCAGCCGGTAGCCGGGCACATACTGGTTGAACTCAAGGTCTCGTTTGCTCACGCCCACGCCCACGTCCAGCGCGTCGCCGTCAGGGTGGGCGCAGGCGAGCCCCGCCAGGGCCAAGACGGCAGCCGCCAGCAGGCCGCCCAGCATCCTCGGCCCGCGGTCACTCCCCACCCGCCATGAACACACCTGCAGGACAGAAAGACGCTCGTTAGGCTGTGTGGGGATCGTGCTGTGCCTCGCCGGAGCAAGGCTGTAGTTCCTCTACTTACCCTCAAAAAAAGAAAAGAAAAAAAAATATGAGTATACACACAATGGAAGAACCGAAACCTTCCATAATCAAAGGTTTCACCTGCAAGAAAACACCCAAAAGAACTTTAAAAGAACTGTTTGAAATAAAGTACTTATAAACGTAGAGAATGCCATACATGTCTTGGAACATTCTCGTCCGATGGAAGAACTCTTGATAGAAAATGACATAGCACCTCTAAAGCCTAAGACATCAATACCTTATGTAACTAAAAGATTCTCAAGGTGTGAAAAATGGAAGTCGAGAGAGAGAGAGAGAGAGAGAGAGAGAGAGAGAGAGAGAGAGAGAGAGAGAGAGAGAGAGAGAGAGAGAGAGAGTTAGAGAGAGAGAGAGAGAGAGTTAGAGAGAGAGAGAGAGAGAGAGAGAGAGTTAGAGAGAGAGAGAGAGAGAGAGAGAGAGAGAGAGAGAGAGAGAGAGAGAGAGAGAGAGAGAGAGAGAGAGAGAGAGAGAGAGAGAGAGAGAGGCAGAGAGAGAGTTTGAGAGACAGAGAGAGAGAAAGAGAGAAAGAGAGAGAGAGAGAGAGAGAGAGAGAGAGAGAGTTAGAGAGAGAGAGAGAGAGTTAGAGAGAGAGAGAGAGAGAGTTAGAGAGAAAGAGAGAAAGAGAGAAAGAGAGAGAGAGGGAGAGAGAGAGAGAGAGAGAGAGAGAGAGAGAGAGAGAGAGAGAGAGAGAGAGAGAGAGAGAGAAGAGAGAGAGAGAGAGAGAGAGAGAGAGAAAGAGAGAGAGAGAGAGAGAGAGAGAGAGAGAGAGAGAGAGAGAGAGAGAGAAAGAGAGAGAGAGAGAGAGAGAGAGAGAGAGAGAGAGAGAGAGAGAGAGAGAGAGAGAGAGAGAGAGAGAGAGAGAGAGAGAGAGAAGAATGATCTCATGTTTATTCTGCGAACAACAACATTGATAACGATTTTTGCGATAACCCGACATACATGACTCACTGTGCTTCCATCCACAGCGGAAGAGAGAAAGACACACACACATACATACACATACATAAATATATATATATATATATATATATATATATATATATATATATATATATATATATATATATATATATATATATATATATGTATATATATATATATATATATATATATATATATATATATATATATATATATATATGTGTGTGTGTGTGTGTGTGTGTGTGTGTGTGTGAGTGTGTGCGCGTGTGTGTGTGTGAGTGTGTGCGCGTGTGTGTGTGTGTGTGTAAAGATATATGAATATGTATCAAATAGATATAAACCAGAAAATAATTAAGAGAAACTTACCGGAATACAAAATATGAATATTTTCCCTCTTCTCCTCACTTTATCGCGTGTTTATTGGATTTGGTCCCTTGATCAGTATGACAAATTCAATATCCTTATTTGATTTACTATTGTATTTTTTCGATCGAGTTTCTATATATATTCCACCTATTCAGCGTTACGTTTCAGTAAAAAAAACAAGTCTGCTTCACTCAATATGGTATCGTTCTGTTATCGGCAACAAGCCCACAGTAGCAGAAAACAAAAGAGCATCTATGTCCTTTATTTCTCTTTTTTTTCTCTCTTTTTATGTCAAGAACCGGGGGA